CAGGTGATCCACCCACCTCGGCCTCCCAAAGTGCTGGGATTACAGGTGTGAGCCACCGTGCCCAGCTACCATATTTATTCTTCATTTAAAAAGTTTGTATGTATCCTTTATTTTAATTTGGTATGGCAATTTTGCCATCAGTAACAAAAAAATCTGTATCAGAAGCTATAGATTTGAAAAGCATGAAGTTACATGCTATCATTTGCTTCCTTTTGGGATTCAAAAAACCCTTTGAAGCGTAGCTGAATGGAAAGAGAAAATATCTTATATAAATAGATGACCTTTCTTGCTAAGAACTGTTGTTGCCTGCTTAAAGAAGGTAGGTGGGGTTTTGGTTTTTCAACATGCCCTATCCACATTATGCTGATTTCAATGTAATAAGAAAACAAGAAAATAACCTACTCCTCAACAGTAATGTCTACAGTTTATTTGGCAAAATTTCTTCTAGTCAGGCTCCTTCACCTTGACTTTTTCAACCAAGTTAATAATTGAATGACTATTCCTTTTAAGCCACAGTCACAAGTTCAGGATGGTTAGCAGAGAATGTGCAGTGGTGTTTGCTAGAGCCACACTAGCCAAGGCATCAGTGCCTGGCAAACATGACCAGTGCCAGCCAAGCCTTTCCAACAACCTCATTCCGTCACTACTGAAACTCAGATAGTACTCTCAATTTCACAAAGGGCATGTGTGCATGTGTAATTCAAAACCCACAGCTGTTAGTAGAAGGATAATGCTCTTAGTCTCTCTCAAGACATTCCTGGAGTCACACTATGCTCCACTTAGGGTTGTGGCTGTTACATTTTGGGTTACAACAGGAAAACAGAAAAGAAATGGGGGTGACTGGTGAAAAAGGCCAGAAACAAGGATGATCCGAAGGATCTGGGTTTGCCTGAGGACTGAGGAGGGCACACAGGCTACCTCATTACAAGGTGTTTAACAGATGTCAGAGACATTGCTTCTCTAAAAAAAAGTCACTAATCTCTCCCAAAGTGGGAATGCTGTTTTTGCAAGCCATTATGACTGAAGAGCCAGGGCAATGGGAGCGCGGAGGCAGGTGATGCTGCCTCTGCGTAGGAGTGGTCTGTGGAGATGAGTAGCAGGGTGCAGGCAAGGCATCGCTCTGCAGACAGCCCCACTGCAGGAACGAGTGCTGCAGGGGAGATCTCACACGTGAAACTGACACTGCTCCCAGAAGCCTGGAGAGTCTGCAAGCAATAAAAATAAAACCCGGCTGAGGAATGGACTCACAGAATCCATCTGTTCTCCACATTGGCAGCCTGTTTGACCACTACAGCTCCACATAAGATTCCATTTTCCCAAGAGTGACTGCTAAAAGAAAGATGGAAGAATCGCTACTCCACACAGTATTTAAAAAGCTGGTTGCTTTAAAACAGAAAGAAATAAAACTATCTAGCTAAGTGGCAATGGTTATTTTTCAAACGGGATGGCAGACAAGATTTAGGTCAATGGCTCTGAATAGCAGCCACTTGTTCTGGGACATCTTTAGTATTAAAAGTAAAAAAATGAATATTTCATACCTCTGGAGAAGTGAGAAATGATGAGTGCGGTGATTTTTAAAATGTTCTTCTAGAAGCCTCTATGCTAATAGACTCTCCCCCTACTCACAGTGAGAGCAGTTTTACTTGTATCTATTTCATATGGTGTACTTCCATTAAAGAGCTCTGTGACTTGGAAAGATGGGAATCTGTTGCCTGGTTAATGTGGAATTCATGCATCACCTCTACTTCTAAGGTCATCACTTACATAGGGATTCAAGTAGAATATAAACTACACTATGAAGTTTTACTATCTAAAGTAGGGTTTCTTCACAGTGGCATTGGGTTGGATAATTCTTTGTTGTAGCACTTGTCCTGTGCACTGTGGGACGTTAAGCAGCATCCTGTGTCTCTATCCTACTTGATGCCAGTAGCATGCCTCAGCTGTGGCAGCCAAACACGTCTCTAGACAATGCCCAATGTCCCCTGGAGGGCAAAACTGCCCCCACTTGAGAACCACTGGTCTAAAGATACAAATAAGTCATCATCTTACTTCCAAACCTTTCCTTAACATGCACAGTATTTCTAATTTAAAATGTTAATTCCATTTTTAAAAACTTTTAAGTACATAAACATTAAGGAGGGTTTCAATCTAAAAAAGAACACAGATAATTTTGACTGGGAAATGAAGGGTTCATTATGCTATCATTACCGTCCCTCAATTTTAAAATATGCATATATTTTAACACTAAGATGTTTTTATAAAAGCTTGAAAAGGGGAGAATTATGAAATATACCCCTTGTTGAAATAATCCTTGTATTACTGATTTCTCCATTTTTGAATTTTCATCCATGGTTGAAACCAAAGGTGCAAGTTGTTCTTGAGCAAATTTATTAACTGCAGGAAAAAAGAATTACTGATAAGTCTGTGTTCAAGTGACAGCCACATTAATAAAGATGACAACAGCTCCCGGTTTGCTGACAACATTTTACATTTTAACTAGTAAGTTAAAATATACACAGGTACCCTTCTTATACTTTCAAAATAGAATTTATGAAGTCTTCTTTTTAACATAGAAAGGTGTAGTTCCCCATATCCCTTTGTAACTCTTGATGACATTACAAAGTAAATGATGTACGTAGATGGTGCAAAAACACAAACAGTAAAGAAAGCGCAAAATGAAAAATGAAAGCCATGCTCTGCTCTACCCAAAGGTAACTAATTTTAAATTTATTATGCATTCCTTCTGAAAACTTTTCTTTGAAAATCGTCTATACTTACCTGTACACACGCACTCATTTACACAAAGGAATCATAAGATACATATTCGTGTGTGCCTTGTTTCCCCCCATCTATATCTTGATGATCTTTCTATGTCAGCATATCCCATCTAACCTGGTCCTTTTAGTAACTGCGTGGTCATATGGAACAGGGTTTCTCCTGGCACTGTTGCCATTTTGGAGCCGGTGGGTCTTTGTTGTGGGGCCATCCTGTGCACCACAGGATGTTGGGCAGCATCCCTGGCTGCTACCCCACTAGCTGCCAGGAGCATCTTCTACTTCTAAGTTGTGGCAATCAAAAATGTCTCTAAATATTGCTAAATGTCCTCTGGTGGCAAACTTGCCCCAGTTGAAAACCACTGTTTCATTTTTCAATGTTTTAAGACTTAGATGCATCTAGAATTCATTTTGATGAAAACACCTTCTTAAGTTTACTACCAACATAATACCAAGTTGCTAGAGAAGGCAACCGGGCTAAACTGACAGTTCAGTGCAGGCCGGCTCACTTGCTTCATTTCTGCACAAGCGACTCCCTCTGTGTAGAATCTCTTCCTTCCCCTTGCCCAGCTGGCCAACTGCACTTTGTCCTTTATGGGACAGCTCAAGCTCCACACTCTCTGGGAAGCCTTTCCTGACTGCTTCCTTAGCCCACTTCTGCCATACCTAGCAAATTGTAGGTGCCCTCTGCTTTGCTCCCCAAACACCTCCATGACATGTACTGTGTTATTCTGAAACTATTTCCTTTATTTGACCGTCTTTGCCACTACACTCTAAGTTCCTTAAAAGCAGTGATAGTTTTCTTGACCATCTTTGTTGCTTCTGTGCTCAGGCTAGGTGGTTATTAAATAAATAAATACGAGTGACTAAAGACAGAGAACAAGATACTCTAAGCAAATTCTTTGATTTATGTAAACTATTTGACCACTCATCCTGTTTTTCCTTACACATCCCAAACTCACTTCCCTAAGACCATACCTAAAAGGTGAGGGAGCAAAGGAAAAGAAATGTACTAGCCGGGTGCGGTGGCTCACGCCTGTAATACCGGCACTTTGGGAGGCCTAGGTTGGTGGATCACCTGAGATCAGAAGTTCGAGACCAGCCTGGCAAACATGGTGAAACCCCATCTCTACTAAAAATATCAAATTAGCCAAGCATGGTGGCGTGCGTCTGTAATCCCAGCTACTTGGGAGGCTGAGGCAGGAGAATCACTTGAACCATGGAGGTGGAGGTTGCAGTGAGCCAAGATCCTGCCACTGCACTCCAGCCTGGCAAAAAGAGCAAAGCTCCATCTCAAAGAAAGAAAAAAAAGAAAGAGAAAAGAAACTTACTTATTATGACAGACATAATTCTAAGACAGCACCAAGATTCCCAGCCGCTGGTGTACATATGTACTCTCTCAGTTATTCGGTCAAACATGAATCTAAGTGCTGCTGTGAAGGGATTTTACAGGTACAATTAGGCTCCCAAATCAGCCGACCTTAAAACAGGGACATGACAGTTTGTGGGTATGACCTAATCTGTTGAGCCCTTAAAAAAAGATGGGGCCCTTTCTGGTGAAACAGGTTTTAGGAATGAGAGAGATTTGATGCTGGGAGGGAGAGCTATTGGTTTTGAAGATGGAGGGAGCCACAAGGCAAGGAATACAGAGGCCTCCAGGAATTGGGGACAACCTCTGGCAGACAGCCAGCTGGGAAAAAGGACCTCAGGCTTGCAATTGCGAGGAACTGCATACTGACACAACCATGGGAGCGTGGAAGGACCCTAAGCTCTGGATGAAAACTCAGCCCAACTGACACACTGATGTTGGTCTTCTGAGACCCTGAGCCTGGGCTTGCTCCAGCTGGACTTCTGACTTACAGAACTGTGAGCCACTACACAGGTGTTGTTTTAACCTATTAAATTTGTAATGATGCAATACCCAGCAATAGAAAACAAATACACCTATCATCCATATTCTCCAAGAACAATATTCTGATGTTCTGCTACAGATTTTAAAATGTGTCATAATTTTACATCTACATCTATTCCTATAAATAAATGAATGCAAACTGCTTTAAGGTTTAGTGGCATATAACTTCTGCTTCTTCATTCAGGCTCCCTGTTTCAACCACAGGCATAGATAAAGGTAAAATTTAAATTCCACAGAAAGTATGAAAACCCACTGTCTAAAGAAAAGTGGAATAGATATGTACTTCTAACTCTGCAAGGCTATATAAGAAACTGGTAACAAGGTGGCAAGAACTGGGGAACTAGAGAACGGGGTGGTAGAGTCTTCATCTTTAACCACAAAGGCTTTTATTCTGTTGCTTTAATCTTGGATATGCATTGCTTTTCTTCAAAAAGAATTTATGTCAAAAAAACTACATTCACAAATTTAGATGAACATATCTTTCAAACAAGTCTGTGACTTCATATTGTAGATCCAATTCATGATCAGAGGAATAATAAGGTGACGTTTTTCCAGCTATTTAGGAGGCTGAAGCAGGAGGATAGCTTGAGCCCAGAGGTGAGGCTGCAGTGAGCCATGATTGTGCCACTATGCGCCAGCCTAGCTGACAGAGTGAGACCCTGTCTGGGGAAAAAAGGTGACGCTGATAAATTTACTTACCCGAACTCTTTATCATCATTTCCTCATCTGTAAATGTTTGCAGTGGAACAAAGGCCACTCCATTATTTGTTATATTGAGTAGAGGTTCTGGCCCGGAAGATTTTGGGACATGAGGAGGTATCTTCCAAGAAGACAAGCAAGTTGGGAAATTTCTTCTTAGCTGTAGGAACAGCCCCATTAATAGGCGGAACATATACACACGCCAAAGACAGGTACTTGAACGTCATTTTCTTTGAGAATTTTCTTTGAGAATAACTTTATAATGTTATTTTGAGAATAGCTTTATAACCCATTCTTATATTTCATGTCACCAAAATAAGGAAACTTAACCTAGTACATTTTAAAATTCTGTCTTTTAAACATAACACAAACTAGCTTGTTAATATGATGTAACACCTTCTTTATCCAGCAATGAGCTGCTTTAAATAAATGAATTTCCCAGATAATCAACTTTTACCAATCAAGGAGACAGAACCTTCTCAACAAAATTCATCCTCCAATGTATTTCACATTTCACTGACATTTTACATAGGGAAACTGGAACTGTAACACCACTGATGTCTAAGACTGACCACTGTCAAAACCATTCTCTTGTGAGGGTACAGAGCTACCTGCCCTGCCCTGAGTGGGCCCAGGCAGCTGGGCTTTTGTAATTTCCAAGGCTAATTTTTTTTTCAGCATCTTGCAGGCAGCATAAAGGTTAAGAAAGTAGGCTCTGAAGTCTGAAAGAATTAGTTTCAAATCCTAGCTTCTGATATTTAAATTACGTATCTTGGGCAAGTGATTTTTAACCTCTTAGTTAAAGCCTCCCAGAGTCTTAGTTTCCTTACCTGTAAAATGCAGGTACCAACCTCTTGGAGTTTTGTGAGGATTAGTAAGACCATCCATAGAAGGGCTTAGCATATAGTAAGAGCTCAATACACTGTAATGACTATTTCTACCACAGCTGCTCAGAACACAGAAGTGGAGGTGGTCATCATAGAAAAAGCAGTAGTAATGATCTAGTTAAACTGCAAGCCATCATTGATTGCCATGAAGGTGCCTTCCTGCTGCAGTGTCTCAAATCCTTTATTAAATGCAGTAACATACTGAAATATGTTTTCTCAGTCATTTTGATTACACACTGAAAAGCCAAGAAAAGGAGAAACTGTGAACAAGGGTCACCATGTTTGAAACCACTGTCAACCTTTGCTGCATATTGGCCTATCTTTGCAACTATGTGCCTGGGAGCAGATATACTCTGCTCTGGATTCACCTGGAAAGATGAAACATTGGCCAGTCAGAATAAAAGTGGTATGTGTCTCAATTTTCCTAGCTAATTGTTTTGTTTTCAGAAGTAGGAGTCGGTTTAGGGCAAAGTTGCATGTAACATTTTTTCTCATTAAAGACAGAGTTGGGACAGGGAAACTTTGGGCTAGAAAGGAGGAGAAAGAGGACATAAGGTATTTTCTTCTTGATGAGATGGACAGGAAGAACTAAAAAGAAGGGTAAAGGAGAAGTGAGGTAAGAATCAAAGTGCAAAGGGGCTCAAGAAGGGGAGGAACACTGCTAGCAGCAGCAGGAGAGAATGGTCAGTGGCAGCTGGCACAAAGAAAGAAGGAAACGGAGAAAGAATGGAAATTGGAGAAGGAAGAGAGGTAAGCATGGGGACCAAGTCTGCTCATTGGCTGGTGGTGGAGCCTTGAATGGGGTTCTGGATATATATTTGAATGAATGAAAGAATGAGCCAATTAGTCTTCTCCACAAAATGCTCATGAAACTTACCTGTTACATTTCAAAAGCTATAATACATTGCCCACATTTCTCATTTCTAAGGGAGATTATTTACTTCACAAAACCCATGATTATTTACTTCACTAAACCACACAGAATTCTGTGTGTCTGTTAGTTAATATATCACCTTTGTACCTAAGTTTATCTATAAAAGAAAGCTCACTACTGAGAAATTTAAAAGCCAGTAGATCTGGTTTTTAAATTTCTATTAAAAATTATTATTCTATTCTATTAAAAATTCTATTCTATTCTATTTTAAATTAATACCTATTTTTCCCACTGACACAATTATGAGCCCCTTGGTTTCAATATTGCCACTGACAAAGTATAGGACCATTCAAAACATAGCAGTGATTTTATATTCTTAGACACGATAACAGAGACAATTGTACTTTTAAAGTACAATTTTAAAGTACCTTTTAAAGGTAAGAAATGGTATATGATCACAGGGCAAGATTATTGAAGATGCTCTTCATAATATACAGTGACTATATGTTAAGTGAATGGAATCCATTTTTAACCAAAGCATTGAGAGAGATTACCTATCGGTTTTTGGCAGAAAAAAAAATTCCATTTATTAATACTGTGACAGCCTTTAATAAAGGAAACTTTTCCTTGCCTTTGACTGCACAGCCTGATGTTTTGATGTTGATTTTCTAATGTCCCCTGCCCCTCAGTGTTGACCTCAGCCTTTGCAGCTTTGGTGTCCACTCCATCAAAATGATTTTCCACAGTTATAACCCATTGCACCACATCATCACATTTTTTTGTACAGAACAGCAATTGCTACTTGAATGGAATAATGGTTATTTATGCCTTGCCAAATACTTTCCAGAGCTTGAGTCTGATCTGTTTTCTTACTCAACTGACCAGAGTTCTGTTGCACTTAGAAGCGTTGATGATCAAACCTGGGCCTCTGGGCCTCTGTGGACAGAACAATAAAGTCCATGAACTTGGATGGGGGTAAAATTACATCCTTATTTCATTAACCTCCAACTAAAAATACAGCATTTCCTTCTATTATTAATGTAGGCAACAAGTTACAATAGTCTTAGTTACAATAGTCTTGTGACTCTGGCATCAAAAGAAATTACAGATACTTTTATATCACATTGATTTGGTGCAAGTATCTTGAAATATTATTTGTGCTCTTCACTACTTCAAATTCAAAGCAGTTATCAAAACTACTGCCAGATCTTATTTCATTAACAAATATACATTACTATATCACAATTTAAAAGTATTTTTATATCTAGCATCTTTGGGGAAAAAAATAAAAATATTTTTATAACTGCTTTATTATAATTGATTTCCTTTGCAACCCTATATAGTGTATGCATTTTGAATCATTGAGAAAAGGTCTACAAACTTGACTACATTGTTGTTTACTCTTATCCAAGACACAAAGAAGGTTAAGAACTCCTGACTGTGGAATGTTCTGGTAAAGACTCTTTTGCTAAACTCGGTTAGCAAAAGAACTGAGTTAGTTCCCTTCCTCCATTATGCTCCAGCATAATGAAGCATTGTTCTGAACATTCTTAAAGTGCTTCAAACCTAGCTTTCACAACATATGAAAGGCAAAGGAAGACGTATCAGAGATGTTGTGCTGTCTCCTACGGAAGCTTCTCCCTGACTACTTGACCCTTAAGAGTTAGGAAAGGTTGTGGGGAGAAAGAAGAAATCTTTTTTTCTTTTTTTTTTTTTTTTGAGACAGAGTCTTGCTCTGTCACCCAAGCTGGAATGCAATGGTACGATCTTGGCTCACTGCAACCTTGGCCTTCCAGGTTCAAGTGATTCTCATGCCTCAGCCTCCTAAGTAGCTAGGATTACAGGTGTGCACCACCACATTCAGCTATTTTTTTCTATTTTTAGTAGAGATGGGGTTTCATTGTGTTGGCCAGGGTGGTCTTGAACTTCTGACCTCAGTGATCTGCCCACCTCAGCCTCCCAAAGTTCTAGGATTACTGGCATGAGCCACCGCACCCAGCTAGAAAAGAGAAATTCTTATGCTCTGTGGGTTGAGTATATAAATCACTGTTGCAATCACTTTGGACAATTAAGTGATAGTAAACATAAGGACAGATGCTATGGTTTGCACGTGCCCCCTTTAAAATTCAAATGTTGAAATTTAATGTCCTAGTATTGAGAAGTGGGGCCTTTAAGAGGTGATTAGGTTATAAGAGCTCCTCCTTGGGAATAAGACTAAGGCCCTTATAAAAGAGGCTTCACACAGCACTGGACCAGGCCCTTCCATTCTGCCAAGGAGGATATATGAAGAAAGCCTTCCCCAGACAACCGAACCTGCCTGTGTCTGCATCTTGGAGTTCCCATCCTCCAGAACTTTGAGAAATAAATTTCTTTTCTTCATAAGTACCTAATCTATGGTATTCTGTTACAGCAGCACAAAGTGAACTAAAACAACATATTTACACTAAGGCCCAGAAATTTTACTTCAGTTCACATACACAAATAGACATGTGCAAAAGATGCAGTGATTTCTATAAAGGCAAAAAACTAAATATCCAATTATCTGTCAACAAAGCAATGCATAAATTGTAGTATATTTACACAACAGAATGTCTTATAGCAGTTAAAAGGAACTAGGGAGCTACGTGGCTCAACATGGACAAATCTTGAAAATATAGTATAAAGATGCAATTTGTGGGAGGATTTGTTCAGGATGACAGCATTTATGTGTACGTGAAAACACCAAATGATAGTATATATTCTTATGAGTATGCAAAGATATAGTAAAAGTTTAAAAACACAAACAGGAAGCATACAGATGGTGGTTACATCTGAGGAGAGGGTGGAAGTGTGGGTTTTGTGTTGGCATTGTTTTATTTCTTTTTTTCTCCTCTCTCTTTTTTTTGAGACAGAATCTTGCTGTATCACCCAGGCTGTAGTGCAGTGGTGTGGTTTCAGCTCACTGCAAACTCCGCCTCCTGGGTTTAAGTGATTCTTGTGCCTCGGCCTCCAAGTAGCTGTGACTACAGGCATGTGCCTCCATGTCTGGCTGATTTTTGTATTTTTAGTAGAAATGGGGTTTTGTCATGTTAGCCAGGCTGGTTTCAAACCCCTGGGCTCAAGGAGTCCACTCACCTTGGTTTCCCAAAGTGATGGGATTACAGGCATGAACGATCATGCCTGGGATGTTTTATTTCTTTAAAAAAATCTGTAGTATTGCTTCACTTGACTAACCTTTAAAACAAATATGTAGCAAAGGTGGATTGTGTATATATGAGTACCAGTTATATTAGTTTTTGCACTTTTCTGTAAATTAGAAATATTTAACAAGAAAAAACTTTAAGAAATTTTACATAGCTTTTTCTTTCTCTTTTAGAAAGAGAGATGGGGTCTTGCTATATTGCCCAGGCTGGCCTTGAA